ATGGCAAATCAGTCTAGTATCTTTGCCAAGAAAACCCCAAGTGGGGTCACAGAGAGTCAGACACAGGGAACCGACCAAACAATGAACAGACAAACCCCCAGACCTGCTCCGGACCCTGTGACCCACTCGAGCCGCCGCTGTCTTTCCTTCCTTTCTTTGCCGAGCCTGCCAAGGAGGAGCGGGCACCCCTGGAGCCCATGGTGACTCCCCCCAGCACTCGGCTGCGAGCATGCTCGTCTCCATTGGCTCCCCTGCATCCTCAGCCTCCTTGGCTTCCCTGCCGCAGCCAGCGGGCTCCGGCTTCTCCCCGTGGCCGGCAGCCCGGTCTCTGTGTGGACCTGCTCCGAGGGCCCCTCTTTTCTCCCTCATCTCATTTTCATGGCTTCTGCCATCTCTGGACTCATGGAGCCACTCTCAGCTTTCCAGCAGCCAATGAACCTCTGGATGACGATGCTGACGAGCTTAAGAAGAGTCAGGGCATTCACATAGCACCGTCGGCTTTGCGGATTCTCCTCCGAGTCTCCCGATGACCTGGGAGGTAGGTGCTGTTATGACTCCCGTTTTACATTTGAGGAAACTGAGTCAAGCAGGTTAAATGACTTGCCCAAGGTCACACACCTAGTAAGTGTCTAAGACGGTATTTGAACTCAAACCTTCTTGACTCCAGTGCCTACACTTTCTCTGGGGCGCCCCCAGCTACTAATTGTATGTCCCACCAATATCTCGAATCCAATGTACTCACAACTGAATTTCTGGAAATAACGTATTATAGCAGGGTTTGTGATGTGCAGCTGCAGCTACATAATGTCACCTCTCTGCCTTGAATAAAACTTTGTTGTCGTGGGGACTGAACTCCCAAGTATCTGCAAAGTGACATCATTCATTTGAAAACAGATTGCGATCATTTCTAAAATACATAGAGAACTGAGTCAAATTTATAAGAATGCAAGTCATTCCCCCGTTGATAAATGGTCAAAAGATATGAACAGGCAGTTCTCAGAGAAAGAAACTAAAGCTATCTATAGTGATATGAAAAAATGCTCTAAATCACTATTGATTAGAGAAATACAAATCAAAACAACTCTGAGGTACCACATCACACCTATCAGATTGGCTAATATGACAAAACAGGAAAATGATAAATGCTGGAGAAGGTGTGGGAAAATTGGAACACTAATGCATTGTTGGTGGAGTTGTGAAATGATCCAACCATTTTGGAGAATAATTTGGAACTATGCCCAAAGGGCTACAAAAAGTGCATACCCTTTGACCCAGCAATAGCACTTCTAGGGCTGTATCCCAAAGAGATCATACAAATGGGAAAAGGACCCACATGTACAAAAATATTCTTAGCAGCTCTTTTTGTAGTGGCAAAGAATTGGAAATTGAGAGGATGCCCATCAATTGGGGAATGACTAAGCAAGTTGTGGTATATGAATGTAATGGAATACTATTGTGCTATCAAAAATGATGAGTGGGCAGACTTCAGAAAAACCTGGAAAGACTTGTATGGTCTGATGCTGAGTGAAGTGAGCAGAACCAAGAGAACACTGTACACAGTAACGTTGTGGGATGACTAATCTTGGTAGACGTAGCCCTTCTCGGCAATGCAAGGATTTAAGACCCATCCAAAAGTCTCATGATGGAGAACGCTGTCCACATCCAGAGAAAGAACTATGGAGTCTGAATGCAGATGGAAGCAGACTATTTGCTCTCCTTTTCTTTTGCTGTTTAGTTTTACGGCGTCATTCTCATGGCTTTTCCCATCGGTTCTAATTCTTCTTTACCTCATGACTAATGGGAAAATATGCTTAATGCGAACGTATAAGTAGAGCCTATGTCAGATTGTGTGCCATCTTGGGGGAGAGAAGTGGCAGGGGGAGGAAATTTAGAACTCAAAATCTTATAGAAGTGAATATTGAAAACTAAAAATAAATTAATTAGTTATAAAAAGAAAGAAAGAAAGAAAATGCATTGTGAGCTATTACCAAAATAAAGTTTAAGATGACAATTAAGTATGTCATATGCATGGGTGTGCCCGATGCTTCAGAGACTGCTAGAGATGGACCCTGGGAGAAAATGGGATTCTCTCTGTCATTTTTGTGACTACATTTTACCTTGGTAAATCATGTCTTTTAAGCAAAAGTAAGGTAATTCAGAATTTTCTCCCCAAAGCAAAATGAGTAGTAGAGTTCTTGAACTTCTAGAAGGTTTTAGATAATGTACCCTGGACTGTCTTGGTGTGTGTGTGTCTGACTCAGTGGTAGCCAGGGTTGAGATTGTGAAGCATCCCTTCCCTGGAGCCACTGGCCCAGGGCCCCCTCCCCTTTCTCTTTCGTGGCCTCACTGTCTTCACTGTTTGCCGCCAGAACAGTCCAGAGCGGGGGCCAGAGCCCTGGGCCTGGTTTGCTGCCCCTGGCAGGGTCTGGTCACCCAGGCTTGGGAGGTCTGCAGGTCTGGAAGGACAGGTGGGTCACTGGTTGCTTGTTCTTTCTTGGGATGGGGAAAGCAGAGACATCTTAGAGCTGTTGGAGGCAAAGCCTGACATCTGATTGTAGCCGGGCCAGAAAAGGGATTTGCTTCATGAAGAGCTTCCCGGGGAGTATGGAAGCCTGAGTAAAGAAAGCAGGGAAGCCTGGATGTGTTTGCTGGCAGTCAGGCTTCCTGGAACACAGCCTGCCCAGGGCTGATGACCCTGGGGCAGCTCTGGCTCCTGAGAGCCTTGTCCAGCCAGGCCAGCGATGGAGAAGTAACAGAACCGGCCAACATTCCATAGCGCGTGCAATAGCTGATGGACTAGAAGTTCTCCTGACCCCCAACCCTGTGCTGCTACCCATGCAACTTGGTCTTCCAAGTGGGAGGCTGGCACTAGCACCGTGCTGCCTTCCCCCTTTCAGGAAGGATACTTTGGCCATGGTCTTTACAGGAATCATGTTGGCGGAAGCCTTTCTCAACCCCGCTTCTTCTGGGGCCTTCCCTCTCTTCATTGTTTCCTGTGTAACCATCTGTAGCTTATGTGTTGTGTTTGTTTGCCTGTGGTCTCTCCCCCTTTGGACTGGGCACTCCCGGAGGGCAAGGAGTTTAGGTGTTTAGTAAGTGTTTCTTGATTGACTCATCATCTAGGCCTGAAGGCCGGCTCTATGGCAGTACAGAGGCATAAGAAGCAGATGACCAAGTAGGTGGGGCACAGTGAACCTCAGGACTTTGAAGCAGGGTGTCTGGGAGAAGGAGGTCATCATGGCCAGAGATGCTGTGGTGGGGGTGGGGCAGGAGATGATGCCGAATTTGAGGGGGCCATCCAGGGGGAGTGTTTGAGAAGAATCACAGGCTTGAGGCTGAAGGCCTGGAGCTGGGGTGCATCCCCCTAGAAGCGTTCCATTGGACACTTAAGACTGCCTGGCGGAGGTTTAAAAGCAATGCTGATTATTATTATGTCGTGTCAAAGATTGAGTTTTTGCCCTCATCACATTCTACCCTCCATTTGTGTACATATCGTAGTCCAATAATTCGAGTAGAAACACATAGGTAATTAAAGAAATGTTTATTCCATTCAGTTGAATTTTACCAAGTTCTTTCTTCCTGTTAGTTTGACACTCAAGGCCCCAGGGAATGCATGAAACAAAAGTAAGAGAGCAGAGTCCAAGTTAGAAAAGCAAGTGAAGACAGAACTCACACTTCAGAGCCTTGGCAAGAAATTCACCGAGGAAACTCGGCTCTCACTGGTGATTGAACAAATCCTCCAGGTGCCCCTGCCTTCAAAACAAAACAAAACTCTCCTTTATTCAGAATCAGAACAAGCAGAACCATTGCATTGTTGGCTTGAAAAGGACCATCTCATCAAACCCCCACCCAGAAGAGAATCCTACGACCGTCTCTGACTAGTGCTTTCCCAGACCTCCCTTTGAAGAGGTCGGGACTCAGAGTCATGAAGATCCAAGTTCAAATCCTGCTTCAGACAACAACAAAAGTACTAATAGCCAGCATTTGTATAGTGACTACTGTGTGCTGGGCACTGGGCAGAGCATTTTATAGATTTACTTTAATCTTCAGAACAACCCTTGGAGGTGGGTGCTGTTATTATCCCCATTTTATAGTTGAGGAAACTGAGGTTGGCTGAGGTGAAATGACTTGCCCAAGGTGACACAAGTATTTGTGTGATCCTGAGCAAATCGCATTCCCTCTCTCTCTCTGTACCTCAGTTTCCTTGCCTGTAAAATGGGGATAATAACAACACCCACCTTGCAGGTTATTGTGAGGATCACATGAGTGAGTGTGTGTAAAGTGCTCTGCAAACCTTAAAGCGCGACATGAACGTGCAGTGCACGTGAGGCAGGCCGGTGGCCCAGCTAATAGGGTGCAAGGACTGGACTCTGGGAGACCGGAGTTCGAATCTGGGTTTAGAAACTCACTAGTAGTGACCCTGGGCAAGTCACTTAACCTCTCTCTGCCTCAGTTTCCTCATCTATAAATGGGGATAATAGTGGCATCAGTCTTCAAAGGTTGTTATGAAGAAGAAATAAGGTAATAGTTGTAATGTGCTTCGTGTTGTGCTTAATGGCCACATCGTGCTTAATAAATGCCTTTTCCCTTGCTCTCCTTCCTCCCTTCCCCCTTTGTTTCCTTATCTCTAAAACGAGGGGCCCTTCCATCTAAGTGAGCATCAGCACACAGTAAGCATTTGAGGAGCGCCTCCTGGTAGATTAGTGGAGGCCCACATTTTGTTCTCTGTAAAGTGAGGGATGCTTTCCAGCTCTCTGCCCGTTGGAGAAATACAGGAAAACTCGCATCAGCAGCATTACTTGTGAAATGGTGAGAATGATGTTCTAGTAGCTTGAGATCTCTCTACCTAATCCCTGACTGAAGGAGCAGGCGTATCCCAGTGTACCCTCAGGTCCCAGGACCATAGACAGGGTAAGCACAGACAGGGACCAGACGTGGAGTTGCTGCTCTCCACATGGAGGCAGGTCAGGGAGCCGCTAATCCTGCTTTCTCTTTCCTAGAGGTATGCAGTGGCGCTGTGGCGACAGACAAACACGGTGGAGAAGATGCAGCTGGGAGCCTGCCTCACAAAAGAGCAGCTGGATGACTTCAGTGAGGAGCAGATCGGCCAGCTGCAGGAGCTGATGCAGGAAGCCACCAAACCCAGCCTGCAGTTCAGTGTCAGGGACCCAGCCACACCCAAGGCCTAGGCTGCCCCACCTGCTGCTGCAAGGGGTGTTCTGGGACCCAGTGGTGGGCAAAGGAGTGGAATGACAAAATCTGCGCGTAATGAAAGTTGAGAGCGATTGGAGGTAAACCGTTTGCTGGGACTCTTGTGAATGGTGTTGATGAGGACTGGCCAGAGGCATCTGCCCCCTTGAGGTGGGTGCTTGCAGGGCCTTGCGGTTCATTGTCTGGAAAAGTTTTACCCTTCAGACGTCAATCTCTCGACATCCAGACCCCCCCGCTTCCAGAGCAGCCTTCAGAAGATAGGATCATGAGCACTCACCTTTGAGGATGGCCAGTCAGAGCTGTAGCCTGACAGGTTCGTGAAGTTCTGGGAGGTTTCCATCTTTACCCCCAGAACAGTGTGATCTGTTACCGCATGAGCAGTGGGAGTTCTTATCTTGTATCTCTCCTGTGTCCCTTCTCTCTGAGTCCTGTTTCTGTACAGTGGAAGTGACCAGAGGCTTACAGGGTCAGAGTCAGCCTGTCATTGATTCTCTGCTGGGCAAAACAAAACATTTCCAAATTACTTGCTAACAAAAATGCTGCTTATTAAATATCTGAACCTGCCACAGGTGTCTCATGACGTGGGCTTTGGGGAGAGCAGAGCCGAGCCGCTGATGCCTCTGGTATTTAGGCTTTCAACTTGTGTGAAAATAGCTTGTTTATTGGGGAGGGGAGTGGGGAGGAAGGGGGAGAAAAATTTTAAACTCAAAAGCATATGGAAGTGATTGTTGATAAATCAAAATAAATTAATAAAATTTTTAAAAAAAGGAAATAGCTTGTTTAAAACCATGATTTTGTAAACCCTGAAGAATGTTTTAATTGTGAGGTGTCATTCTTATGGCCTGCTGCTTTTAGTGGGAGCTTAGGTACAGTGGAGTATTGTTGCTGCCTGCGGGCTTTCATCTCTGGAAAGATGGCCACCCCGTGCCATATGGGACTGCCCTTCTGTGGACCCGTGGGCACCATTCACGCTGCCTCATAGCATGCGTCCTTTCGTGCCATTTGTGGTCAGGTGCCAAGAAAGGCAGGATGTCATGGAAATAAAAATTAATGCTGTGAAATTATAATGACTAAGCTTGGCTCCAAAGAAGTGATTTGAGACTGACATACTCTCTCTCTTATACACTGCCATGATAGAAATCTGTGATAAAGAGAAACTGAAGCAAAAAGTTCTGCACACAATCAATTTATTAGCAAAGTTAACAGTTGCCAATAAGTAAGGTCAGTGGCTCCTCAGTAGCCATGGACAAATGGGGTTTACAGAGCTTATTTTTATAATCATAAAAAAAAAGAATGGAAAAATTGCAGATTCTTGAGAAACTTGATTGAATTCTGATTGGGTGGTGCATGACTGGAACAGTCTGAGACTAGCTAGGCACTGTTGCCCATCTGGTTACAGTTTTACATCAGCCAATCTTGATATCATGGGATTATTGTGCTAACTCAAAAGTGATGTTACTTGTAGTAAGCACAAATGAGGGTGCTAACTTAGCCAACTACAGAAGGCAACTTGGACCTCTGTGAAATGGGAAGTGTGCATTCCAGCTCAGTTCTGCAGGGGCTTAGCTCAACCGCGCAGCTCTACCAAAATGGGGAATTTAATCTCTGACTACACTGATTATGTATCTCTTAATCTAAAAGCTATCTAAGTCTTATATGTTAAAATAGATCAGCAGGATAATCAGTATTGACTTAATTAAGGATTATTTCTTTCAGCACACCCACCACTTTGCAGAGTTGGGGTAGTATGGGTATGAAATAGTATATATAAAATCTGGCGGGTTTTGATGATGTTGGTTGGTTTTGCTGAATTTTTTTTTTCCTTTTCTCTTTGTTATAAGGGGTGGCTCTCTGGGAACAGTTCAGGGAAGGAAACATTGGAAAATGTAAGTGATATAAATGCAAACTATCGATAAAATTATTTTAAAATTAAAAAAAAAAAAGAGGTCATAGAAATAGCCACCGCCAGCACCTTGGAATACTGGCTGGAGACCTGGCCCAGACACTGACTGGCTGGCCTGTGGGACTATGGGCACATCACTGAATCTTGGGCTGCCGGGGACGAGGAAGCCAGTGTAGTCCAGCCCTGAACAGAACACACACGCTGCACCCCCAACCAATGGCCATCAGTGTCTTCCCAGAGGAGTGTCACGGCTGTGGGGTGGAGGCCCGGAGCCTGCTCCTTTGGCCTGGTCCACTCTGGGGTGGCACAGCTGTGGCTCTTTTGGGCATGGCTCCATTTGTGAGCCCCCTTCCATGTAGAGCCCCCAGCCCCGGCCCCACAGCAGTTACACAGCTGCTCACACCTGGAGGGCTCAGACTGGGAAGTACCAGGGACTATAGAGTGGTGGGAATGGCGCGGGGCTCTGGGCACGTCTGAAGAGTTACTTAGGCCCCCAGAGGAGGCCCTGCAGCAACCCTCACTGCTGCTGGGCAGGCCTTTCCTTCCTTCCTCTCCCATCAAAGGAGACTTATTTGTAAAGTGGCACATAGTAGGTGCTTAAACTCTTGCTTCCCCTTCCCCCCAAGTTGCCATTCCTTCTTTTCCTGAGCTTCTGTTACATTCCCCACCCCCATCATCTCCCTAGAATGCCTGATTCCATCAGGTCAGTGAGGGGCTGCTTCCTGAGGGATGCCCGTTCTAATTCCCAGGGTTGTTACTGCTCTTAGGGGCCTAGTGTTCCCAGTGCTGGCTTAGTTGGTGCTGCTTGGGTTCTATGGGATCCGGGCTCAGGTGAATTCCCTGTAATGATCCCGAGGCAGGAACTCAGGCAAGAGAAAAACCCTTCCAAAGAAAGGCCCAGGGTGAGGAGTCAGACACCCCCTTTCCTTGCGAGCTGGGTCACCAGTGACAAACGACTCCAACTCTCTGTTCCTCAGTTTCCTTATCTGTAAAATGGGGATAATAGCCTGTACAGTTTACCCATTGGGCAGCTGGGTGGCGCTGCAGTGGAGGGAGCCAAGACCTGGATTCCTATCCGGACTAGACCCTTCCTGGCTGTGTGACCCTGGGTAAGCCACTTTACCTATTTGCCTCGGTTTCCTCATCTGTAAAACGGGGCTGGTAACAGCACCTACCTCCTATTGTTGTGAGAATCAAATAAGGTAGTAAATGTAAGATGCTTAGCACAGTGCCTGGCACATGGTAGTATTATTGCTATCATGTTATTTATAATACCGTATATTATATGCTATATGTTATATGTTATTGTAGCAGTAATGTTGTTGCTATTAATATTAAGTCATCTCTTAATTTCCGAACCCATTGGCCTTTTCCTAGTCCTCGACCTCCTTGGCCTCTGGCAGCCTTTGACCCTGTCAATCACCTTCTTCTTAATACTCGCCCCTCTACAGGTTTTCCTGATTTTTTTTTTTTTGGTTAGGCAGTGGGGTTAAGTGACTTGCCCAGGGTCACACAGCTAGTAAGTGTGAAGTGTCTGAGGCCAGATTTGAACTCAGGCCCTCCTGACTCCAGGGCCAGTGCTCTATTCACTGTGCTGCCTAGCTGCCCCTGGGTTTTCCTGATTCTGACTGTTCATGGTTCTCCCATCTCTGGCTGTTCCTTCCCTGGCTCCTCTCTTGGTTCTTCATCTATGTCCCGACCACTTTCTGGTAGTGTTCCCAAGGCTTTGTCCTGGTTTCTCTTCTGCCCTGTTACTGTCTATCATCTGCTCCCATGTCTGGCCCTGGCCTCTCTCCTGAGCTGCAGCCCCATGTCACCCACATCCCCAGCTGTCTGTTGGGCAGCATCTCGAGCTCACGCGTCCACTGTGCCCCCTTGGTTGGCAGCCTCTGTCTTTGGAATGTCGTAGTCCTGGGGTTGCCCTGTGCTCCCAGGGTACTTGAATTGCTTCTTTCTGGTGCTCACAGCATATTTTTTCTTTGATGTGGGAGCTTTGGGTTTTGGCCAGCATTCCTGGGACTCTTCTGTGGAGGTTCCCTTCAGGAGGTAATGCGCAGCTTCTTTCTAGCTTTACTTTGCCCTCTGAGCATTTTCCTGATGTGGCCTCAAGTCTTTTCTTTTCCCCTGAATTATGGTTTTCAGGGAATCCGGTGAACATTTAAAAATGATCTCTCCCTGACATATGTTCGGATCAAGTTGTCTTTGACATGAAATAATGGTCCCACTGTACCCGGAGGGGTCAGAGCACCCTGAAATGTCAGGTTCGTGTTTGTGCGTGTCCTGATTTCTGAGGAGCTTTGATGAGCTGGAAGGTGGCTGAGGGCTGAGGATAGCATAGCAGCTCTCTGTAATTAACCCCTGTCTGCCCTTGGGGGTCTTTGCTTAGCTTAGCTGCATTTTAAGGTCTTCTGCAGAGTGACTCAGACAGAAACAGTACAGGATTTATGCTTTGTTGTTCTTCCTGACCCCGTTTGGGGTCCTCTTGGCAGAGATACTGGAGTGGTTTGCCATTTTCTTCTCCAGCTCATTTTACAGATGAGGAAACTGAGGCAAACAGGGTGAAGTGACTTGGCCAGGGTCACCCAGCTAGTAAGTGTCTGAGGCTGAATTTGAACTCAGGAAGATGAGTCTTTCTTCCTCCAGCCTGGCAGCCACCTAGCTATGCTTAGAACAGCCCCTTTCATGGGAAGCATCCCAGCCTGTCTGATTGGACAAACAAAATGGCCTTCAAGTTAGGTGCTAAAGTCTGAAGCCTCTGCTGCCTCTCAGTGGTAAAGTGAACCCCAGATCACCCAACCTGCTGCCCCTGCAGTCTGAGTGCTGTCAGTGAATCCTGTTAAATGAAAATCGGAAAGAAATGCAGGGGAAGGTGGCCTAGCAATTCCAGATCTTGAATTGTATTATAGAGCAGCAATCATCAAAACTGCTTGGTACTGGCTAAGAAATAGGGAGGTGGATCAGTGGAATAGGTTAAATATGCAAGACACAGTAGTCAATAACTATAGTAATCTATTATTTGATAAACCCAAAGACCACAGCTTCTGGGATAAGAACTCACTCTTTGAAAAAAACTGCTGGGAAAACTGGAAAAGAGTATGGCAGAAACTAGGCATAGACCCAAATCTCACACCATATACCAAAATAAAGTCAAAATGGGTTCAGGACTTAGATATAAAGGCTGATACCATAAGTAAACTGGGAGAACAAGGAATAGTTTACCTATTAGATCTATGGAGAACAGAAGAATTCATGACCAAACAGGAGATAGAGAACATTATGAAAAGCAAAATGGATAATTTTGATTACATTAAATTGAAAAGTTTTTGCACAAACAAAGCCAATGCAACTAAGATTAGAAGGAAGGTAGAAAATTGGGAAAGAATTTTTACAACCAGTCTCTCTGGTAAAGGCCTCATTTCTAAAATATATAGAGAATTAAGACAAATTTATAAGAACACAAGCCATTCCCCAATTGATAAATGGTCAAAGGATATGAAGAGACAGTTCTCAGATGAAGAAATTAAAGCCATCTATACTCATCTGAAAAAATGCTCTAAATCGTTATTGATTAGAGAAATGCAAATCAAAACAACTCTGAGGTACCACATCACACCTATCAGATTGGCCAACATGACAAAACAGGAAAATGATAAATGTTGGAGAAGATGTGGGAAAATTGGAACACTAATACATTGTTGGTGGAGTTGTGAAATGATCCAACCATTTTGGAGAACAATTTGGAACTATGCCCAAAGGGCTACAAAAATGTGCATACCCTTTGATCCAGCAATAGCACTTCTAGGGCTATATCCCAAAGAGATCAA